AGAGAGAGCTATTGTCTGCGACGTTATACAACCTGTGATAATAGCGAACTCTGACGTCTGTTCGTGGAATTGCGGAGCCTACGATATTTTTATGGCTCTGCGAAGAACTATATTGTTATGCCTTTTTCAGTCTTGAAGGGAATGAACAATTGATGGAGAATGAAGGAAATCAGTGATTAAGTGTTACATGAAATTCACTCCAAGCGAATTATTCTCACGGGAATTACTAGTTTATAAAAATGAAAATGTTTAGAAACTGTGAACACGATTACGAGAATGTTGAAAACTCATTCTTTCGGTGCCATCTCGGCACCCTGACGCAAAACAAGCCCCTTGGCATCAGCGAGCTGTGTCGCCCAGGGAAAGAGAGAAAATGAAGTCGTAAAAGTTGACTAAACTCACCAGAGCTGGAGGAGGTGTTCGAGGACGTTTGGGTTTCGCGATACTCCCCAAATTCCAGGGAGAGCGCACGCATGTCGGCTCCGGCGCCGTAGATGAGGTGCGGCACGGCGAAGGCAAAGCAGCACAGCCCGGCCACGAAGGCCCCGCTGGCGATGTAGCGCGGCTTGCTACCGCGGCTGCCGAAGTAGCTCACTACCAGCAGTGAACTCACGTAGCCCGCGTCCGTGGCCGACGCGATCACACCTGAATATATTCATGCACTAAAGAGGTCTTCGACGTTAGCGGGAGGGAGGGATGGAGGGAGGGAGTTTCCATAAATGTCACAAAAGTGAACGAGGGGTGGAGGTTGATGGAAACATAAAAGGTCTCACGATATATTGTTTTATTATGAGCTTCAAACTACAAATGTATTAAAGGTGACCAAAAATGAATGTTGGTTTTAATATGAAAAAATGTATTAAAATATTTATGCAAGTTACTACAATTTCTAACGAATTTACTCGTATCTTTATGTACTATGGAAGAGAGGATGAGCATTCGCCTCAGAGAAAATGAACTTAGTAACACTCATACTCGCTATACTGAGTTACTCATATTAACTCTGTTAAAAAGGTGTTACAAGGGCAATTTTGTAAAAATACCAGGAGCTTCATGTAAAGTACGAACAAAATATAAACTTTTGGTTTCCCTCGGTCTTGACATAGATCATATTGATTGGAAATACAGCACATTATGGGGGGAAATCTAAGTACAATTGAGGCGCTAATGTTGTTCACAATCGACGGACTTAAAGATGTTTTCAAAACATGGTTAAGCAACAAAAACATACTTTCTAACAATTCATAACGGCTTCGCAATATTATATTAGTTTTTGAACCTGCAAAAGTGTCTGCAATTTCTCTTTAAACTAAAACTGGCCCTTAATGCATATACAACCTTTTATGTACTTTATATTTCGCATTCAGTAAAGAACAATTTTCTCAAAATTAAACCAAATTTCATAAAATATTATAGAATATAAATCTTAAAATGCGTATCAGTTAATACAAAG